TCCTCCTTTAATTAGCACCTGTGGTGCCCTGTTAATAACAGGCATCTGATTCAGACACTTGAGCTTTAATGAATTCATCCAGCCAAAGAGATCCCCATCCCTCGGAAGGGGGTCGGTGACAAGGAAGAGCTCATTGAAGTGTCCTCGTTGGATTTTGTGCTGGGAAGTTCTGGGAGCTCGCTGAGATAGGGCCCCCCCGAGCCCTTGTCAGGGCACCCAGAGCCCCCCTGAGCCCTTGGAGGAGTGAAGGGAGCAGAAAAGTCAGTGCAAATCCCGGCAGCAACACAAGGCCAAACGCTTTCGTTGCACCGAGAAGAGGGGGAGAGACAGAGAGAGAGGAAGAACGGAAGAGTGAAAGAAAACTTCTGAATTCCCTCATCTTTGTATTTCATTGCACTAGGAGTCCCAATTATAAAATCTGTGTGCAGAGGAAGCCAATGCAGCTGCTCTTGGTGAAAAAAAACGAGTGACAGGTGAATTGAAACCGTAAAATACGTTCAGTGTTCAACAGGAGGGAACATGTCTCTACATCTCCTGCATTGTTCTTAAATGCGCGGCGCCTTTTGGGGATCTGGTGGTTTGATTCCCTGTATGAGCAAGCCCGTCCTTTCCCCGCTCAGCTCTCCACGTCCATCCATTCCCAGGTGGCTGGAGGGCAGGCTGGTGGGAGCTTGGGCATTGTGGGGGCTGCTGTTCCTTCCCTCTGGCCGTGCTGCAGGTTTGAGCAGTGACTTTGGCTTCACACGCGTTTATTCACTCCATGGGGTTCGTGGTCTGCAGGACAGGAGATTTGTTGGTGTGTGCTTTCTGAAAGCACCCCAAAACTTCCCTGGATTTAAACTAGGACAGTGGGAAAGGGGATGGGAGTAAAGTTAGCTCTCAGCCCCCTTAAAAGTAGCGTGCCTTTGTGTTCTGCTGCTTTCCAGCAGCCCAGCAAAACCCTCTGTTGAGCACAGGAGCAAGGGGTTGGGCTGCTCCTGACCCTCTGTGGTGCTGCAGGACCCGTTGCCTGGGTTGTGCTGCAGCCTGCCCTGAAGCTCCCACTGAATTTGGCTCTTTCAGTGGCTATCAGATCCCGGCCTTGTCGGCTCGAAACACCCCCTGAGGCTCTGGTTTGTAGTGCCGTAAAAGCTGACCACGATTTCCGTCATCTGCAGCCAAGTATTCATCGCTGCTGGTTTTATGGCCACCGTCGGTCTCGGCAGCGATTTCCATTAGGCCGCTGAAATAACACTTCTTCATTGCAGCATTCTCACGCGGAGAACAGAGAAGGGAGGAAGGGTTGCTGGCATCCTGGGTGTCCCCCTGCCTTGTCTGCAGCCCTCCACTGGAAAAGCACGTTGAAGTGGTCAGATGGTTGTTGTCCTGCTGCACTGTCCGGGCAGCAGCTGCTCGGATAGCTCGGGAGCAGCGCTCGGGCTCTGTGCACGCTGCTCTTCCTTGCTTTAGTGCCCCTAATGAAATAACTGGTCAGAAGCAACATCTGGTTTGTGGGTGATGGAGGAGACTGGAAAAAAACAACTCCTGTAGTCCTTCATGGAAGGCTGGTCAGCCTGAGCCTTTGGGTTTGCTGTTGTCTCTGTTGGAGGAGGAGGAGATAAGAGGGGCACGCAGAGACTACGGTCAGTCCTCAAATCCCAGAAGGGTTTGGGTTGGAAGAGACCTTTAAACTCATCCAGTTCCACCCCCTGCCATGGGCAGGGACACCTTCCACCACCCCAGGTTGTGCCAAGACTTGCCCAAACTGGCCTTGGATGCTTCCAGGGATCCAGGGGCAGCCACAGCTTCTCTGCCCAACCTGTGCCAGGGCCTTACCACCCTCACAGACAGCAATTCCTTCCCAATATCCCACCTAACCCTGCCCTCTGGCACTGGGAAGCCATTCCCTGTGTGCTGTCCCTCCATCCCTTGTCCCCAGTCCCTCTCCAGCTCTCCTGGAGCCCCTTTAGGCCCTGCAAGGGGCTCTCAGGTCTCCCTGGAGCCTTCTCTTCTCCAGGTGAACCCCCCCAGCTCTCCCAGCCTGGCTCCAGAGCAGAGGGGCTCCAGCCCTGGCAGCATCTCCGTGGCCTCCTCTGGACTCTCTCCAGCATCTCCACGTCCCTGTGCTGTTGTTCCCAGGGCTGGGGCAGCTCTGCAGGGGGGTCTCAGGGGGGGCAGAGGGGCAGAATCCCCCCCTGTTTGACCTGCCTGTCTTGCAGTCCTGTGGGAACCTTTGCCTGCTGGTCCCTCAGCTGTGGTGCCTCTCCCTGTACGAGCCAGCAGCTTTTCCTCGGATGTTCAGTGAGAGAGACCCAGCCATGAGATCAGGGACAGGGGCATCCCACCAGCATCCTCTGGGGCCATCTTTTTAGGGGTGATTCTGCCTTGGCCCCTGCAGTTGCGGAAGGTGCTGCAGGGTCATCACTCAGCTGGGCTGTGAGACGTAGCCTGGAGCACCTCAAAGGCCGTCGCTTTGCTTGTGAGACTAAATAGGGCCCTTTCTTCCCTTTTAGTCCCATGTGTTGCATTTTCCCTTTCAGTGCTTCTAAGGACTCTACTAATTATTAATAATTAAGCTGACGAGGCAAAGCTCGGTTCCTTTCCCTTGCATCTGGAGTAAGCCAAGGAGCTCGGCGTGGGAGCTCGCACCACATCCCATCCAGCGCCGCCTGGGCTCAGCAGCCCCTCTGGAGTTCGGCTCGTAGGATCACAGAAGGGTCTGGGTTGGAAGGAGACCTTAAGGATCACCCAGTTCCAAGCCCCCTGTCACGGGCAGGGGCACTTCCACTGGGACCACAGTGCCAAAAAGCTGGGCAGCGTGGTGGTTCTGGGTGATGGGGCTGAGAGGTGAGATACAGAGTGTGGATCTCACGCCTGACGTGGCACCTTGTTGGCCCGTGTTTATCCAAGCCTTGTTTCACAGGCTTCCCTCTGCCAGCAGGAAATTTTTGTTGCTTTTCTTGGTTTTCTTCTCCTCCTCAGACGTCCAGGGGACCCATGCAGAGACTGAGGTCCCCCTTAAGCGCAGGCTCAGGAAACTCGGGGTGGTTCACCACAAGTGGAAAAGCTCCACTCTTGCTGCAGCTGCCCTTGTAGCCCTCTGGTTGCTCATCAGGTCCCAGCCTGCCCTTAAAAATCTCCTCGTGGTCCTCAGAACCCCCACCACCTTCTCTGGGTTTGGTCAACATCTCCTCCCTTTCCATGGCCCTGCAGCTGGGTTACAGTGCAAGGGGGACCTTCCTGCACAGGGTGTCCTTTCCCTGCAGAGCCTCAGGATTTATTTACCTTCCTTTTTTCCCCTTCACTCCTCGTTTCCCACCAGTTTTCCCCCTCCCCTTCCCTCTGACTGTGGACCAAGGCTCTCCGGCTGTGCGCTGCCCCACTTCCTAACGGCGGGAGCAGCTCTCCCTCTGTTCAATCCTTGCGTGCAAAAGCCCAGCATTAGATAATTGCTGGATTGAAAAGAGGCTGTAATTATTTTTTGCTTCCAACTACAGGAGCAGGCAGGCTTGCCAGACTGCTCGGTAGCTGCTGGCAGATGCTCTTCAGAGGGTATCCCTGCCCTGCCTACATCCCTCCCCACCGTCAGATGGGCCGTACGTCTTTATTTTAACTGTTAGCTGGTTCCCTCTTCAGATTGCTGCTCTGGGCTGCCCTGGAGTGTTGGAAGTGTTTCTCTTCCACCTTTAACGGTTCATGGTTGCTCAGTGTTTAATATTTTCCCTGTCATTATTCCTGGTGACTTCTGCCAGAGAGCAGGAGGGCCCCCCCGGCAATGCCCAGTGCTTGGGGAGTGCAGAGCAGAGGACCAGGCTGTGAATGCGCTGCCGGGTTAATGGGGCAGCTCTGGTGATTAAGGGCTCTAGCAGAGCCATTATTCCGGCATGAGGAACCCGACAGGAGCAGATCCGTGATTTTTTTATATTTTGTTTTCCTGCTCTAAGCAGCACGGGGAGCAGCTGGTAATCTGGGATGTCCCAGTGCAAGGTCACCGCCCTTGCTGTGCAGCTGGCTGGTCCCTGCAGGTCTCCCTCGGTTCAGAAGGACCTGGTGGTCCCCTCAGTGGGTGGCACGGGGCGTCTGCACGTGGGTCTGCAGCAAAATGTGTTAGAGGGTGTTTGGGAGCAGGACAAGGCCACAGTCAGGCAGGAGAGATTTCCTTGCTCCTCTGAGATCCGTACACATCTGCAGGGAGACGCGGTAGGTTGAAAGCTTTGAGCTGGTCATCTGGAAGAAAAAGCCCAGCTGTTTCCTAGAGCTTCAGGCCTTTTCTTCCCTTCTGATTCCAGGTGAAGTATTTGCAGGTTAAAAATCACGGTGCCTTGTCTGGAAAACCTAAAGCGCTTTGAGGGCTTGGAGCTCTCTTTTCCCAACTCAGACAGCTGCGAGAAGCGATCCCTGGCCCGTGGCCACCCTCTCATGGTCACCTGCTGCTGGAAAATGACATTTTGTTAGGAAAATCCCACAAATACCGAGATTTCTCCGGCTAAATCTGTACCCTGGCCCCCAGCAGATGTTGGTATCTGCCTGTTATGCCTTTGCCAGCAGTGGGGTGAGGGTCTACCATGGTGCCAGCAAGTTCCTTTTTCTTTAAAAGGCAGTGAGCCTATCTTGATGAGAGATTCCTCCCTTACTCAAGGGAGCTTGGGTTGGCAGAGAGGCTTTGAAATATGGGATTACACTCCAGAGACACCACAGCTTGCTGCCATTGCTCACCCGGCTCGTGTTGGGTCCACATTCGTCTGCTCCAGCTTCTTAGTGCCAAGGGTGTCATTAAGTCTTTTCACAGCAAGAGAGGGTGAAAAAACCAACTTCAATGCTGTATCATTCATGTATATGTATTTACCTGTCCAGTTAGGCTTTCAAAGAGGACCACAGATGGCATCCCCAGGCTGCTCCTTAGGCTTGCAGTGGGACCCCGAATTCCGGGGGTGTCCCCACCCCCACCGCCAGTTCTAAAGGCTTTTCTACAAAGCCAGCCACCTCTTTTGCCCAAGCAGTTTTGGTTGTCATAAGCTGAAATGCTCCACGTCCCTCCCAGCTGCTCGGCAGGGAGGGGATTGCACCCTCATTTCTGCGCTTTCCTGGCGGTGCGGCTCACACGGGAGGCATGGCACGCTGCTCAGCCTTCGCAAACTGCTCCGCAACATCTTCAGGAGAATTACAAAAAAAAAAAGGGCAGCAAAGGGGAGAGAGAGGAGCCTTGCAGATGGAAAAAGGGAGAATTAAGCAGCTGAAAAATGCCGGTGATGCTGCGTGCGTTTGGAGGGGATAACTAATGAGCCTCCGAAAGGTCACGGTTTTGCTCATGGTTAACCTTCAGCAAGCTGTTACGTAGGCAGGGCATGGGCTGTGCTGGTATAAAATGAATCCGTCTCCTCTTCTCTTCCAGGAGAGAGGCTGAGACCTGCTGAGGGATAACGGGGCTGCGCAGCACAGGAGCTCCTCGTCGGGCTGTAACGATCAGGCGGCGCTCGGCTCCGCCGGGGAAGGACGCACAAGGGGAAGGTGCTGGGAGTGCAGACGTGGAAACTCGCTGCTCTGAAGGCCGCCAACAAACTGAGTTTTCGGTCTGCGGAACATTTGCTGCCCTCGGGATTTCTGTGTGCCAAGGATGGGGTCTGCCTGTCGCGGAGAGGGAGCGACGAGGAGGGCGAAGCTTTGCTGACGGCTGGGGGGCCCGGACGGTGCCTGGATGCGCTTCGCTGGTGGGGAAAGCACTGCCAGGACTTGTGGGCAGGGAGGGTTTGGGGCAGCGGAGGGGCCATGGGGCTGCTCTGGGCTCTGCCCCGCAGCGGGGCCGGCCGGCTGCCCCGGCACTGAGACGTCAGGGGCGTGGGGCTGGGCATCCTCCTGTGCCACCAGCCCCGCGCTTCGGCGCCGTCTCCAGGATACCGGGGAAGGGAGACGAGGCAGGGGCTGAAAAATGTAGCAGTGCTGATCTTCTAGTCTCAAGAAAAAGAACTTTCCTGTTTTGCTAGAGATCGCTGGGCTGTGTTTCTCCACGCTGCTTGCGAAGTCTCTTCCAGCCCTTGATTGCTCACCCAGCTCAGAACATTTTCTTTCTCTGTGTGTGTGTGCATGTGTGTGTGTGCGTGTGTGTGCTCAGATTTACTTTCACTCTGTGTCACCTCAGAAGTGATGGGCTCCGAGCGAGACCACCCCCCCTGCCAGCCCCTGTAAGTGACGATGAGGGGCTTGATTTCCAACCGCGTTCCTGACCTGGAAGCTCTGAGACTCTCCCGGCTCTCCGAGTGACGAGGGAGAGGAAGCCGACATGGCAGAGAAGTGCGACTGCATCGCCAGCATGTACGGGTACGACCTGGGCTGCCGCTTCGTGAATTTCCGCCCCCTGGGCTTCGGGGCCAACGGGCTGGTGCTGTCGGCCCTGGACAGCAAGAGCTGCCGCAAAGTGGCGGTGAAGAAGATCACGATCGGCGACGCGCGGAGCATGAAGCACGCCTTCCGCGAGATCAAGATCATCCGCCGCCTGGACCACGAGAACATCGTCAAGGTCTACGAGGTGCTGGGGCCCAAGGGCGCCAACCTGCGCGGCGACTTCTTCAAGTTCAACGTGGTGTACATCGTGCAGGAGTACATGGAGACCGACCTGGCGCGCCTGCTGGAGCAGGGCAAGCTGGCCGAGGAGCACGCCAAGCTCTTCATGTACCAGCTGCTGCGCGGGCTCAAGTACATCCACTCGGCCAACGTCCTGCACCGCGACCTCAAGCCGGCCAACATCTTCATCAGCACGGAGGACCTGGTGCTGAAGATCGGCGACTTCGGGCTGGCCCGGATCGTGGACCAGCACTACTCACACAAGGTAGGCGGTGCCCGGCTGCCGGGGCCGGCGCTGGCTCGGGGAGGAAGGCACGGGATGCTGGTGGGGTGGGGTGGCTGGACCGTGGTGGATCTTCTGGGGAGAAGCTGTCCTGGGCAGCTCTGAGCCCTGCTGGGGGGGTCACTGCTGGTGATCACTCTCCTTCGCCCCAAGCCAAGGCGTGTTTTGGTAGAATCACACCACAGAATATTCCGAGTTGGGACCTATCCAGTCCAACTCTTAAGTGAGTGGCCCGTAGGGGGACCAAACCCACAGCCTTGGTGTTACTAGCACCGTGCTCTAACCCCCTGTGAATAATTTGGGTGGGAATGGACTTTTAAACTCATCTAGCCCAACCCTCCTGCAACGAGCAGGGACACCTTGCACTGGGTCAGGTTCCTCAGAGCCCCTGAGCCAAACCTGGCCTTGAATGTTTTCCAGGCACAGCCCAAGGACTGAGCTCTGCCAAGCGTGCCCCAGGGCTCTCCAGTGCTGCAACGCTGCAGAGAGGGCACTGGAAGGGTTCGAGTGCCGTTTCAGTGTCTGTCATTGCTTTATGGCTTATGTATCAAATGTATTCTCAGGTGTTTTATTCCATCTCAGCAGTGGACTGTGAGGAGGCGTGTGTTTGCTTGCTTTACTTGAGTGACTAAGCTCTGTGTTTCTTGCTTTGCTGCTGTTACAAAACACGAGCTGCTGGAAGCACATGGAAAAGGCACCTGGAACGTCTGCGCCCACTCTGCTTGGCTTTGTCCTCACTTTGGAGCCAACCCACTTCTTAAAAACCCGTTTTTCTTTGAGTTACATTCATTTTAAGACAGGGAGAGAGGGATGGGTCTGTGAGATTCAGTCAAATCCTTTCATCCAAGGTCAAGATTCAAGTGAGACACAAAATTCCTTGGTGTTTCATTGCAGTGCAGTAGTGGTGAGTGACCAGTGCAGCCTGGTTTGCTGACAGCAGGCAGCCAGGGTGGGAGGGAGGGAGGGAGGCCGGGAGAACTGGTGAGAGGGCTCTGTAACGCACGGTCCTGATGCTAATGGGCTTTGAAGGGGGATGCAAGTGTTTGAAGCAGGTTGCCTTCCAGGCTGGAGCTTCTGAGCAGTGGAGGAACACGGTGGAGGCTTCATCAGCTTGTGGATCCGCATGTTCCTGGGAGAAAGCAAAGTTACCTGTGGTGTGTGCAGCCTGCAGCAGGCTTCTGATTGAAGCTACCGCTTGGTGTTGCAAGACGAGATAAAATGTATTTTCTTGAGCTGGGTGTTTCCGTGGGCAAGTTCAGAGTCAGCCACGGAACCGCTGTTGTGCCTGGGCCGAGGTTTAAACACACCTTGCATCTTCCAGCGGGTTCCTGCCCAGCGTGGCTCTGATTTGGGCACTGTTGTTTTGTGCAGGGGGAAAAGAGAAGGGGAGAGGGAACAGGGTGGCGAAAAGACAGTCTCATGATCCTGAAGCTGAGCCCTGTTTTCAAGTTTTCCCAAGGATTTGGGAAGAAACAAAACCTGTGTAAAAGAAAGAAGGTTGCAGAGGACACCGGGGAGTGAGCGGCAGGGGTCCCTGGCACTGCTTCCTGCCCTTTCTGTGCCCCTTCCTCACCAGTTACTTATGACCCAGCTTGGGAAGAGGCTCCTGGCTCTTCAAATGTGTGGTTTGCTTTTTTGAGGAGGGTGACTCCCAGAGAAGACCCCTGCAAACAAGCCAGGGCTGCACGAACACAGAAAGTCGCTGATTTGAGGAGCATCCTGTTGTCAGGGACTGCAGGATCAGGGTAGGAGTCGTCTGTTCATGTGTGCTGCACAGTTACTGTTATTTCTAAGCAATTCTCTGCTGCCTTCATAACAGCCAGTGCAGTGGAAAGAGCTGTCAAGGGCTGCAGCTTCGTGGGGTGGGATGTAACTCTGCAAGGTGCCGCTGCACGAGCATCCTCCGGTTCCTCGTGGGTTGGGAGCCTGGAGCATCACTGCAGAAACGCCCCTCAGAGCCTCGGCGGGCAGAGAAAACTGCTCCAGAGCAGAGCTGAAGACAGCAGCCTCGCAGATTGTGTCAGATGTTGGCAATCCCTGGCGGTGGGGAGGGCTGTGTTTGCCAAAGCTGGGTGACGGAGGGCTTGGGTGGGCTGCGGGTCAGTCCCGCCTTTGATGTCCGGCGCTTCTCAGATGACTCAGAGAAATCAATTCCTTTCTGAACCTCTCTTTCAAACCTCCTCTCTCCTCAAGGGCTCATACAGATTTATAAGCTCCTTGTTGGCCCCTGCTCTTGCAGGAGGAGCAGTGGGAGGGGGGGAACCAGCACGGAGCAGAACGGGGATCCTCACACCCCAGGTTTTGGTGCTGCCAACGGGTACCAGCGCAGAGCTCCCCAAGAACAGATGAAATCCTGCTCCCTGGTTTGTTTAACTGTCTGGAGACCCAGTAGATCCAAAGCTCTGAAGGCAGTGCAGAGCTACACCTCTACAGTAATGGTTCCTTGCAAGCCTTTGAAGGGAGGAAGGGTCGTCCTAAAAGCACTTGGATATGTTTCCCTGAGCATGTTTTGTGTGTGGAATATGCGACTGCTGGTGGCTGCGTTCTGCTAACACAAAAAAATTACAGGTTTTGTGGGTGTTGTTTGTCTAGAAGGTCACTGCTCTCCTGACCTGATGTTTCTCGGACTCCAAACCATCCTGCTGAGTGATAAAATGGCAAATAAGAACCACGGTGGATTGTGAGCAGAGTTTTAAGTGCAGTTTGGAAATACAGATACCACCTAAATAATAGCCCTTCTCTGGTAAGATGTTCTGTTTGCATGACTTCCAGCAGGCAGATGTTGAATTAGGATAACTTGGTGGGAAGGGGAGAGATCTCCAGCTCTGGAAGATGCCATGGACCACACTGAGGTGTTGGCCTTCACCAGCTTCAAAGCAGAGCAGCTTTGGCTGCATTTCTCCCCCCATCTGGCTGGTGTTGACTGCTCAAATCCCTTTTTCTGTGTGGTGAGGGCAGCACGGGGGCTTCCCTTTGCCTGAAGCTTCCCTGGAACAAACGAGGTGAACTTCCAGCTGCCAAAGCCACATCCAGATCAGGGTCTGCACCTTCACAGGCTGCTCGGACCTGACAGCCTAAATTTGAGCCCTGTCTCAGATACATGCACCTACAAACACCTCCAAGGCACAGAGTATCAGGTGTGGGAGGAGAGGACCCTCAGGAGATGATCCTGTGTGCATCCCCTCTCTCTGCCATGCTGTCTCTTCCCCGCTGCTCTCCATCCAGCCGCGCAGGCTCCTTTCTCTTCCGTCTTACTGCTCTTTATCCCTGGGAGTTTATCCCTCTTGAACAACTCCCTTTTTCTTGGGTCGCTGCTGTTTGTGGTTTGAATGCTTTGCCACACACCTCAGTGCCCAAATGGTGAGAGAAGGAGGGTTGGAGACGAGCATAAGGGATATTTCCAGCCTCCATGAGGTTCTCATTCTTATGCAGGGCTGGCAAAGCTGAGCATTTCCTCTTTCATTACCCACCTCCTTAGTGAATTCAAGCACCTCACCTTCCCCACTGGCCCCTCTTTCTGCAGCCTCAGGGTCCTGCCTGCCCCCCATGCTCCAGCCCCTGCCCTTCAGAGGCTCCATGGGCATGTTCAGCTGCCCACCTATCCATCCATCCATCCCCACTCTTTGTGCCCCAACAAATGTATTTGGCTCCGAATGAGAGTCCAGATCCATCTGCACCAAGTTTGGGAGGGAGGGGTAAAGGTGAGGCGCTGTCCTCCCTCAGCTCGTGGTGGGCAGGAGGCGTGGGAGAACAGGGAGATAGCAAAATCAGGCATTAAAAACTGGCATAAGTGCCAGTGGGTGTCTAGACTTTAAAATAATAAATGTTTTGGAGCTGGGTGTTCCTGTCTGGAGAGGACAACAAGGGGGATGTCTGTTCTGTGGGGGTGCAGAGACTCCCTGAATGTCTTCACTCGGGTGACAAGACCACAAACTAAGATGTTCCTTGTCCTCCCTGTGTTGTACAGGACGTAGATTGTCTCTTCTAGGGGCTCTACCTGGTGCTCCAAAGCATTTGGGGGACCCCCTCTCCCTTTGCCTGTTGACAACGTCCCCTTACAGAGTTAATTGGCAGGAATTCCACACTAGAGGAGCGCAGCAGCCCTTTCAGGGGGAGATCTTGGCGCTAAACAGCTCGCAGACCAACCTCAAACCTTTGAAGTCCTCAACTTCGTACTTGCTAGTCAGCGCAAACATAATCTCTTCCAGTATCCCTGCAGTAAAACAACAACATTCCCAGGCGGGTCATCACGAGGAGGCCTTCAGAGGAGGTGAGGATGTGGGGTTTTTTTGCTCCACACTCCTCCAGGGAGGACCACCCTCCACGTTGGGCCCCCGGGGGCAGCTGCTCGTGGTCCCGTGCAGCCGGCACTGAACCTCCCTGCTCTGACCCTGGCTGGGCTGTTCTCCTCCCCTGTCGTCTGGTGAGGCACATTAGAGGTCTGTGCTCCTGAAATAAATGCACTCTGTCGTCCCAGAGCCGTGAGGACACAACATCAAGTTGCTGGAGCCGCACACAGCAGCCGTTCTCTTGTTTTGTTGCGGAGCAGCCTTCCTGCACGCCCGGCGTCTCCCCACAGCCCCTCCTGGACGTGTCCCACCTGCCTCTTTAAGAAATAAGGTTAAAAACGCTGCCGTGGAGAGGCAGCAGCTTGCTGCTGCTCCGAGATTATTCCAAGAGCTTGGGCTTGTTGCTATTTTGGGTCCCCCATCTGCACCCGGAGCTGACCCGGCTCCCACGGGCGCGGCAGCAGAAATCCCGGTCTGGTTGCGGATGGAGGCTTGGATATGCAGGCCGTGGTTGGATCCTGGTGGATTTCCAGTTTGTGAGCTCCTGGTCCGCTTCTCTGTGGCTTTTTGACTGCGGAAAGATGGGTTTTAGTGTGAAACAGTCTCGGGAGAAGCTTTGGTCTGCAGCGTTAGGGGCTGCCTGGTTTGCGGTAGGTGGGATCCTGCATGTCCCCTCAAGGAAACCTGCTCTTGGTCCCTCCAGCTCCAGGGAGGAGCTCCAGGCTTGGATGATGGTTGTTTTGGGACACTACTGCCATGCTGTGCCAGCTTCCCTGGGCACCCTTGGGAGGCAGGGTCAGCCTGGTGTGACCGGTGTGATTCCAGGAGGCAGCCGAACCTGCCCTAAATTGTTTCTCCTCCTGGTATTACAGGGAACACACAAAACCCGTGTTGTGTAAAGATGAGAGAAATCACTCCTTTTTCTTTGCTTTTCAGCGCTCTTGCTGTGTGCTGTTTGATGTGACTTGATGCTTATCCTACCTGTGGTGAATTCATCACCATTATAGATTGCCTGAGCCATTCCCACACACGCCGGAGGAGCGGAGGAGAAGCAGGAAAATGATACTTGAAAATTGAGAACAAGCAAAGAAAAAAAACGTAGCATGGAAGGGCTTGGACTTGAAACCATTCCTGTTTTTCAGTCAACTCCATTACATTGTTTTTTAAAAAGAGATTCCAGTGGTTCTTCAGTGCAGAAAAGGCTGAATCCACAGAATATTGTCGTGAGGATGAGTGCTCCATCTTAATTAGAACTAATTAATATGCTTCTGCTCGCGGTCTTTCTGTCTGGTTGAATCTGCATAAATGGTAAAATTCTGTTTTTAAGCCTTGCCTTGCATAGGGGGTGGCTGGAAGTGCTCGGGCTCCCCGCCTTGGCAGCGCAGGTGGGAGCTGAGCCCAGACCTCACCCAGGTGCGGATGGAGCCTCGTCCAAGTGTCCAAGCAGCTGCACAACCCCGGCTCCCGAGGCTGTGCTGGTATTGCCCTGTGGAAACTGATAATCCACAGGAGTGTAGCTGCTTCCCTGGAGTGGTAGGACAGGAACTTATGTGTGTATTTCACAGAAATGAGGGTCTAGCTGGTGTTTTTAGCCACGGTGGAGGCAGAGCAGAGGCAGTGTTGGGTCTGTATAAGCTGCTCAGGACTGGGGCGCTGTGCTGTCCAGTTGCTCTCTCACTGGAGGACCTCGTGCCAGGTGGGAAAAGCCTTGATTTTCAAACACCCTCCCCCACCCATCACTCCTTCCCGGTATTTTCCCCCTGAGAAAAAGGAGGGATAAGGTGGAGAGCCCAGCAGTGGAATGCTGTGGGAAGCTGTGTGGGGGTCGGACTGAAAGGCCCACGAGTGGGTGGGATGGGGAGAAGCTGTGGGTCGCTCCTCTCCATGGGTCCTTCCCGTGCTGGGAGCTGGGTGGCACGAGAGTGGCATTCCTTTGCTGGGAGAAATCGCTCCAGCTATGAATTGCCCTGGATTTAGAGTCCTCAAAAGTTTATTTTCTCGGGATTCTCCAATAAATACCAGCGCCTCCATTGTTGGGGATAATTGCAGTAGCTGAGAAGTGGTGGTTTGATCGGATAATGCCTGGGGGCTTTTGTGCTGGTTCTGATTGAGCAGCATTAGCAAAAATACAACAGCATTAAAATGAAACTTCTCAGCTAATCAGTCTCCATTACAACTTACTGTTAAGAAGGCCAGAATTAAAATGTTCTTTTTAGAAGCAAGCCCTTCATGATTAAAAGCCCGAGGACCCACACATTTGGAAGTTGGCACAAAAACCTGCACTGGGGGAAGGGGGAGCGTGATGAACCTGGTGGTGTTTGTGGTGGTGCACTGCTCTCGTGTTTGGGTGGGGAGAGATGTATCCTGTAACATCCCAGGAGATGCCGAATAGCACAACTGCAGCTTTATTGCAGTAGAAAAAAAAACAGCCTGTGAAACCAAATCGGTGGAGATGGAGTTTTTAACTAAGCTTTTATGCGAACTGTGTGTTTCGTGCTGTCGTTGCATTTTTTGACATTCTCCAAATGCTTCGTGGCATTTAAAGGCAGTTCAGCTTTATAATTTTAAATTTTATTTTGCCGCTTCTGCCGCGTTTCAATCCACTCCCTTCTGTTAATGCGTTGTGTTTGGTACAGAAAAATGCCACCTGTGAACATTCCGGCGTTATCCCGGTGAGGGGGCCATCCGTGTGGCCCAGATTCCAGTGGTTCTTCAGTGCAGAAAAGGCTGAATCCACAGAATATTGTCGTGAGGATGAGTGCTCCATCTTAATTAGAACTAATTAATATGCTTCTGCTCGCGGTCTTTCTGTCTGGTTGAATCTGCATAAATGGTAAAATTCTGGTTTTAAGCCTTGCCTTGCATAGGGGGTGGCTGGAAGTGCTCGGGCTCCCCGCCTTGGCACGGCAGCCACGCACCCGGAGCTTGGGAGTGGAGGGAGCTGGGCCATCCCCTGGGATGCCAGTGCTATTTGCAGGCTTGAGCAGCCCAGCCCTTTCTTGATTTCAGCAGGAGCTGCTCAGCCCTCATGGTGCTCGTCCCGGGGGAGTTCAGGAGCGGGAGGGCCGTGGCACAAAGGGACGACGGCGCTTGGTCTCGGTGCCGTGGGTGCTGCCGAGAGCTCCTCTAAATCCGGGTCAGGCATCCCGGCTGGCCACCCTGCTTGAAGGCAGAGCAGGACAGAGGATGGGGATCTGCCCCCCCAGCAGGGTGGCAGGGGAGGGAGGGGATTTATTAGGCCGGGCTCAGGCTCAGTGCAGGCTTTCCTGTCTCTGCATCAGCTAGATGTTCCCCAGAAGGGCTTTCCCACTTATCCCATGCCGTCTTATTTTCAGGAGCCTTGGCTAGGAGCCCTTGGCAGCTATGTTACCCACTCAGCAATGCTGTAAGACATCTGCTGGTCCAGGAGGCTTTCCTTCCGCGTGGCACTGACGTTCCTCCCTAAATCTGTTTCTCTGACAGTCCCCTTGTTTTCCTGCGTGGGCTTGCCCGCAGTTCCCAGGACGTGCGGGGTTCACTGCAGCAGCATCCTGAGCACTCAGGTGGGGTGAACTCACCAGGCTTCTGGGAGGGGGCTGGATCCTGCTGAGTGCATCCTCCGGGCACTGCCCTCCCGGAGCCCCACACGCTCCCTCTGCCACCTCTGCTCGGGTCTTCTGTCCCCCCTGGCACCCTCTGGGCTGATCCACTGGTGGCTGCTCTTGCCTGGGCTCCCCTGGGGGGCTCCTGACCCATAGAAATTCATTTCCAGCATCAGTGCTGGAAGTTGGATCCGTGGGAGTTCAGCAGGACGTAGGTTGCTGTTACCAGCCATGGAAGGACTGCAGGTACAGGACTAACTGGAAATGGAATGAGATAAAGATTGCAGGCTTGTAACGTTTGGAAACTGAGCACTGTGCTTGGGGTCCTGAGCTGGGAAAGGCTTCCTTGACACACTGCTGGGTTCTAGCAGGGACCCAGGAAAGTACTTAAATAATGTGCTTAACTTCCAGCATGTCTCAGAGGTGGGGACTGGGATTTATAGAGTAGATCTAGGTACTCTAAAGGTGACCTGGAATGACCTGTGCAGGTGTGACCTGCAAATCCGCGCTCCTGAAGCCATCTGTCCTTTGCAGAACACGCTTCAGTACCATGGTGACAGAACAGCAAATAAGTGCTTTGCCTCCCGGAGCACTGAAGCATCTCTGTCTCCAGTGGTGTACCTCATGTCTTTGCTTCCTGCACGACAGACAACCACCCCCCAGCTCTCCTTGCTGACCTTCTCCCTCTCTGCTCTTTCAGGGTTACCTCTCAGAAGGCTTAGTGACCAAGTGGTATCGCTCCCCTCGCCTCCTGCTCTCGCCCAACAACTACACCAAAGCCATCGACATGTGGGCGGCCGGCTGCATCCTGGCCGAGATGCTGACGGGAAGGATGCTCTTTGCTGGTAGGTTTATGGCCCCTGTTGATTCGGTTTTTTTGCTCCCTCCTTCCTTGCTGCCCAATCCTGAGGCTTTCTAGCAGGGCAGAGGGAATCCCCTCCTCTCCCTGCCAGCCAAGACATCGCTGCAGGGATGCTGCGGTTGGTTATTCCACGTGAGGGATGTCCCCTGAACACGCCTCACTTGTGCAGCCCCTGCCGTTATTAGAGGGTCCCTTGGTTGGTGAGAACTTCCCTTAGGGATGGAGAATGGTTTGGTTCTTCACTCAGGTTTCCTGTGCTTCCCTGGGAAGGCCACATGGTGTGATTGCACCCCGTGGGTGTCCGAGGCTGGCCAGGGTCGGCGGTGCCTCCGTGCCAAGCCTTGCCGGGCAGGGGACTGTCTGCTGCCAAAAGGAAAACCTTCAACAAAGAGCAGCTCTGATGGAACAACAAAACCTTTTTCTGTTTCTGTGTGTCCAGCAGAAAAGAAGAGCTTTTTGTTGGGAGGAAGGATGCTAAAAAATAAACATAGGGTGGCATGTAAGGACGGGACATAATGGTGCCCTGTCCGAAGAGGTTTGTGCTTTGAGCCAAGGATTCAAATAGCGGTTGGCTTCTTCAAGGTACTTCTTTTCCTTGAGTGTAGACATTTGAATGCCACTGCCCACTTTCAGCCATTTTCAGGATTTTCCTGTGAGCAGGTATGGGGGCTGTAAAGGTGCAGTGCAAGGAGAAGAAAGCAACAGAAGCACAGCAAGAAGCTCGTAGTTATCACTGCAGCATCCGAAGCTCGGCTCTGGTGCTCCCGAGAGGCAAGAAGTTATTTGATGCGGTCCCAAAACTGCTGTTGTCAGGAGCAGAGCTGTGCTTCCCAAGCTGGGACAAGGAGCCCTTCATTTGGGGGTGAAGCAGCTGCTCTCTGCCTGTCGAAGGAGCTGCTTCCCTGCCCGAGGTGTGCAGCTTCAGTCGTCTCTCCGTCGCCCGTCAGCGTCCTGAATGACAAGGTTTAACATGTTTTGTGAGCAGCTGTTTTCTCAGGGTTGTGTAAATAAATAATTAGACCCATTAATAATGGAGGAGGAGGTTTTCTTCACAGATACTTCAGCGCACCGCAGAGCTCCGCAGCCAGTGCTTGGCTGCAGCTGCTCTGCTGCTCCCTCCCCGCTCCCGCTTGCAGCTTCCCTGTTTCCTCTGTGAAAGCTGAAAAATAAGCAGTCAGTATAATTTTGAGAAGATCCTTAAAGTTGCCTCCCGTTCCTACCTTCCTCTTGTCCTCAGTCTCCCCAGAATTTTCACATCCAGGGACTTCAGCTTTGCAAACTGCGCATCCAACCCGGCTGCTCCTGCTGTTTCCTCGGGATGTATTCCAGGAGCAGGGACATCTCCACGTGCCACTTGTCCTTGCAGATGCAGGGCCTTTTCTGGTCTCGCTGGGAGATGCTGCACCCCAGGGTAGAAAGGTACACTGGCTGACACCACTGGGGTGTCCAGGCTGGTCTTTAGAGCTCATTTCATGGTCAAGGCAGAGGCAAAAATAGCCCCAGGACGGGGGCTCATCTGGGCTCTGTTTGCTGTGTGCCTTAGACGGGATGGAGTGTGCCTTGGAGATATTTCTGCCCCAGAGCAGCCAAGAGCCCGCTTTACAGGCTGGTTCCTGAGCATCCACAGCAGGTTAGAGAGGACGAGATGGAATTTGGCAGATCACAGGCTGGGCTCGGCCAGACACACGCTGTGAGCATCCCTTCTTCTCTGCTCTCTAGCCCAGTGCAGTCGCTTAATAAGCCCCCAGATGCTGGCAGGGTACTTAGTTAATGGGTGGGGAATCAAAACCGAAGCTCAAAATACATGTTCCTTTTTGGCTGCTTTAAAAATAGCCTGTGGAGTTGTTATGGGAAGGCTCTGGCCTTATGCCCTGTTTTCCTAGCCTCCTCCTATGCCAGTAAGTAAAGAAAGGCCAGGGTGGGAGCCTGACAGCAGGCAGGGTGACCATGGTGTCCACCTTTCATCTGCTGCTGTCCAAGGAGGGGAGAACAGAGCCCAGCCCCTCGGAACAGCTAAAATACAACAACAGGGGTTCATCCTTGCTTTTGCTTTACCCCTCTCTGCTTGGGGAGAAGGAGTTTTCCCCCAGCCAGCTGCAGGCCCCGTCCCTGCAGGGTGAGACTTCAGGAGAGTCCTGGGTCACCAGCAGACACCCCGTGGGAGGTGGCAGCGATGTAGCTGCCAGAAAGCTGCAAACCTGCAGTAATTGCCTCGCACTGGATTAAAGGGTTTTTTTGAGTGTGCGTCAGTGGCACAATTTGAAAGGAGCGCTTGGCATAAATCAATGTAATTAACTCAGCGGTCTGTCTGGTGTGCTTAAAGCAGCGCAGGTAAATTGAGGTGATCGGTTATTAGGAAGAGGTGTCACTCACTGCCTCCGTTCTCCTGCACAAATTAATGAACATCCAGCAGAGAGGGGCCCCCAAACCCCCTCCCCTGCAGCCTGTCAGCTGCGGTGGCAGGAGCAGCGTCGGGCTTGGCACGGCCCTGGGGGGGTTACACAACAAAGCTGGTTATCCCAGAGCTTGCAGGAGCGAGGAGCATCTCCATCAGCTGAAATCCGGTTTGCAGACCCTTGGAGAGCTCCCCACTGCTCTTCCCTGGAAAACAGGGAACAGCGTCCATAACTAAGCAGCTACAGCTCCCTCCAGTGACTTTTCCACCTTCTGCTGCTGAAGCTTATCTGAAAGCACTGTCAGTGGAACTGGGAGTGAACGTGAGAGAAGGAGTAAAAAGGAGAAAAGATCTGTCCTTGCAGATCTCCGTGGGGTTCACCAGCGGGACAGAGCCAGGAGATGGCACAGGGACTCTCCCCATGGGATCAGGGCTTACTCACAGGCCTTGGGTGCTTCCCCAGGACTTGGCTGCAAGCCTGGAGAAGGGTTCCCTTTTCCAAGATGTGATGCAGAGCTGCTTGTTCTCTCCCGAGGTAACGACAGCACACTGCGTTTATCCTGCCTGTAGGTCGTGTTTTTCTTTTCAGGAATTAATGCCTTCAGAAAAAGGTCCCTGGGAATTACATGAATAGAGGATAATGGAGGAGAATTGTGTTTCCTGAGAGCCATAATTCAAGGTTTCCAGTGTTGCATTAGCAGCTTCTTTGTGTGACTAACCACGGTGCCTTTTGGCTGCCAGGTACCCTTGGTGAGCAGTGGCTGGGGCTGCACTGAGGGAACAGCCACCAAGCCTTTGTGGCTTTCAGTGCCCAGTAATTTTGGTCACAGTTTGGGAATTAGACTGACCAACGAGGTGTTGGTTTCCTGGTGGTTATCTTTAGTTTCCCCTGGAGCCGTGCTGCGAATCTCTAAGAGTGACCTAAAACGAGTTTTTCTGTGGAAAAAAAAAGTGAATTTATTTTGCTAGGATTGGTGTTGGAAGGGCGTCCCTCTGTCATTTGTGCTTTTCCTGTGGCTTTGTCTTGCTCTGAGTAGCTGATGTGAGCGGGTGCGTGGTGCGATGGTGACCAGCTGGGCCAGTGTCGGTGTTGCTTTGGGGTTGTCTGAGTTCACTGCCGTGTCCTGGCTCTGAGCTTCTGCCTCCTGGGTGAAAAAGTGGGTAAAAGTGGTTGTGAGTGCGTAGAACCAAACCTTGTTGGAGTGATGAGGACATGGTGGATGGAGAGACCCTTTCCCAAGGGCCTCATTCCATGGCCAACCATTCCCTCGATGATTGGACCTGCCCTGGGCCGGGGCAGTTGTGTTTTGGGGTCAGCTCCGTGGGTGTGAGTCTGGAAGCCTCCTACAGACCCACAGGGAGCTCTGGGATGGGGAGGGCAGCCCCTGTGAGGTGCCAGGGACTCGGTAGCCCAAAAATCCCGCTTGGTTTGCCCGCCCCAGCCAGCTCGCTGCCTAAATGGCTCGTCCTGCTTCTGGGGACAGAATATTTATGACTGGCTCTCCTGGCAGGCAGAAAGTCAATAGTGAGGCTCCGTGCTTCCACCAGGCTGTCCCCCTGCATGCACAGGAGGCTGGGGATCAGCCAGGGAGCCCTGGGTCCCATCCAGCGGTGTGCTGAGGGACGGGATGAGCGCTCGGCGCCGCCGCTCCTCTCCTCTCCTCTCTCTGGCTGGTGAGTGGGGGGCCTGGGGGTGTGTGCACAAACACATCCCAGAAGGAAAGGATTGCAAATACACCATCCACACAGCAGCTGTGGTGCCCAGCAGGCAGCGGGAGCGGGTCAGAAAGCGCCCGTCCCATCAGGACAGCACAGAGGCCGGGCAGTTGCACTCCTTTAAAGGGGAAGTTTTGGGACCCCTGGAGCTGATCATACAATACTGCACTTCCTCCCCTGATTTACCTTCTGTGCCTCATCTCACTGGCTGTTTTCTGCCCGTTCAGGGGGCCACGAGCTGGAGCAGATGCAGCTTATCCTGGAGACAATCCCCGTCATCCACCAGGAGGACAAAGAGGAGCTGCTCAAGGTGATGCCCATGTTCATCAACAGCACGTGGGAAGTGAGGAAGCCGCTGAGGAAGCTGCTGCCCGAGGTGGACAGTGAAGGTACAGTGGTGCCCGCTGCCTTTGGCAGTGCCCTCCTCCTGGGGCTTCCCCTGGCTGTGGTGCTCTCATGCCTGTTTCCTCAGGGTCCCACAGGAATTGCCCTCAAAGGGCAAGTGCCTGAGCTCTGGTGGGGAGGACTCAGGTATAGGGGGGATTCCAGCTGCACCTGTAGGTTACACATCTCCCCACAGCATACCTGTCCCCTCACAGCTCCCCCTGCTCACCATCCCACCAGGGAAGGCGAGGGCTGCAGGGCAGCACTCGGGGCGCTGTAGCTTGCTCACAGGTAGCTCCTAAGGGTGCCCAGGGGTGCCCGGGGGCCACGTCAGCCTCGGGCACGCAGGGACAGATTGATTTCCCTGTCACTGCTGCGGGGAGAAAGGTCACCTGCGCCCCTCAGCATAATCCACGGCCGCTTTCCTGCCTCTCTGACCCGCAGCGTGTCGTAATGTGCGACTTGTAATATGTCGTTCCTCCGTGCCTCGTGGTGACCTTACGGAGCTATTGATTCCCTCCTACTTAATTAGTCCGAGTGATGAAGTGGCCTCGCGGGAGACAGCTGGATACTGGTTAATGTTTGAGCACTGAGAGGCAGGAGGTGTGGCTGCCCGTTCTGCTGGGTGACTTTGCCCCTAAAAAAAACTGACCCATTCTCACAGTTACACCTTTAATGGGGGATGTTCCTGAAGGTGTAACTGGAGAAAGGCATATTCCTGTTTGTCTGAGCCCAGAGGGACTTTGCTGTGAAAGAATCAGCTGGATAAGCAACAACTTCAGTGACAGGATTTTGCCTTTTCACATCGTAACCTCAGTAAAAACAGTCATCAAAAAACAGCGAACTAGCCCTCTACATTTAGATTTAATTCTCATCACTTTAATTGCACTGAAGTTTCCTCCTTCATCGCTCTAGAAAGAGTTCATGCATTACAGCCTTTCTGAAATGATTTCTGTCATGCAGAATTCTTAAAATATTAACGTATAGAATAATCTTACAGTGCTGGTCACGCTGAAGGCTTTTAAAAATTGCAGCAAACCTAATCCGCTTCAGCTGCAAGTAGAGATCAGTGAAATCGGTTGCCTGAAGTGCAACGCGCTCGTCGAATGGATCTGAGAGCGTGGAATCAAATCCTGGCACAGCCCAAAGGCGTTTTTGGGGCGGGATTTACCGCTCTGCTCGGGATCACAGCGCCGGGGTGTAACACACACACGCGTTCCTGGGGAGGTGTGATGGTGCTCTCACGGCCATTTCTCCTGCCTTGCTGGAGGAGGTGGCGCCTGAGCAGGGGCTGCAGGATTGCTCCCATGGCAGGTGAGGTGGATGCAGCAAGGACAGAAGTGCCTGGTGCAGGTGTGCTTGTTGTCGTGGCCTTTAATTCCTCCCTGACTTCGAGGGGGTTTGTTATGGGGGTTCCTCGAGACTCCTCCTGGCAAGGATGCTGTCACTGCTTTAGAGGGATTAGTGAGCTGGTGTCTCTGTGCTCCACAGCGATTGATTTTCTGGAGAAAATACTGACCTTTAACCCCATGGATCGATTAACGGCCGAGATGGGGCTGCAGCACCCCTACATGAGTCAGTACTCGTGCCCCGAGGACGAGCCCGTGTCCCAGCACCCGTTCCGGATCGAGGACGAGATTGATGACATCCTGCTGATGGAAGCCAACCAGAGCCAGATGTCCAACTGGGACAGGTAAGGTGCTCAGGGGTGGGCCAGAGAACAGATACTGGCTTGAATTCTTGAGGCAGAACTTGGTTGGTGAGTCCCTGACCCGCCCTTGACTGGGTTCCATCACACGCGTTCCAGACCCGTGAAAAGCACCCGCGTTTTCCTCCTTTATGCCATGTTGTGATCCTGGCCCGAGCTGGCACCTCACCAGAGCCAGCAAGAGGCTCGCCATTGGTTTCCTCAGGGAGCAGATGTGGAGTGTGCTGAGTTACTGAGCACCTTTCTGCTTCTGGGTTTTGTTCACAGCCTGTATTGTGGCTCTGCGGCCCTTCCCTCTGTCCTCTTTTCCTATAAAACAGGTTATACAATAATGTAACCTTCCTGGGGACAAGGCCTGGTTTGGAGCGCTGTATTTATCACTTTTTAAGGTGTGTGTGAGCACCAGAGACCACAGATAGGGGGGGTCTTGCAAAAAATCCTTGGTTGTGTTGACATTTAAATGGTTTGCTGGAAGTTTAGAGCAGATCAAAGCTTTGAGCTGAGGTCTCTCATGTCCTGGATGATTACCCCAGTTACTGGTCCAGTCCCAGCACTGGAGCAGGCAGGACAAAATAAGCAGCTGGGAATAATTAACCAGGTTCATTTTTTTTCTGTAGAACTCCTTCCAGCTGGGCAGGATGAGCTGGCTGAGGACGTCTGCAGCTTTGTTCCTCTCTGCATTAGCAATTGAATCTCCCTGCCTCCTTAATACACTGCATTTCACCAGCACTGAAAAAATTACCTGAAGGAATCCCTTGCCTTCACTGTAATTAATCTCTTTGCCTGAGTGAAGAAGTGTCAGAGTAGGGGCTGGGGGGGCACAACCAGGTCAGTTAGGTAAAGAGGAAAGCTGGAAGCTTCCCTCGGGATACCTGTCTTCGGTATATCCCCACAGCTCCAGCATTCCTGTCAGTTACAGCCCCCAAAGCAGCAAATCAGCTGGTGGAGGTCACCTTGTCACCTTTTTATCTCTTGGCTTTGTTGGTGTGTAACAACAAAGGGGGCTTAGGGTGCCCTGCCACCGAGCTGGGGAACATCTGCTGTGGGGCTGTAAAGTTTGCAATGCAAACCAAGTGCTTTGGAGACAAGGAATTATTTTGCCTGTGTGTCGTGGGACACCTGACGAGTGTTTTGTTGCCGTGACAGAGCCCCAGAGCCTGGGGTAACATGTCCTTTAAAGGCAGCTGGGTGAGGAAACAGTAAATTAGATGTCACTGTGAAAACCGTGGCTAAGAAATGCGTGTTGTCAGGTAATTGCAATCGAGGGGGTTAAACTGATTTGAGAAGTTGTCACTTAGCAAGGTGACCCTTCAGGGATGCTCTGGGTCCCTGATGTCAGAGTAAACTGTTGATGTCAAGTCTCAGTGGGGACCAAACAAGGAGCCCTCACACTGTGGTACTTGTGGGCTGAGGGACGGTTTGATTACTGGTGGTGTTAATTGTGTTTTCATCCCAAGTGGGTGGAAGGTGATGAAGGGCTGAAGGAAGGGGCCAGTTGGTTTGGCTGTTGGGCTTTTATTCCAGCTCCTGGTCCCACCTCGGACTGGTAAGTTGCTCGCCCCACTGGCACATTAACACAAAAGAAAAACGTCTCTAATCTCAGTAAGACATTAGAGATCTGCAGGCAAGCGGTAAATCAGCGAGCCAAGGGCAGAACTATCAGCAGCAGCTGATACTGATTTGAGGACTGCTCAGTTCACTGTCTGTGTGTCTTCCACAGGTACCACATAAGCCTCTCCTCCGATTTGGACTGGAGACACGACAAGCACCACGACATGGACGAGGTCCAGCGGGACCCCCGGGCAGGGTCGGAATCCACGGCTGAGGAAGCGCAGGTCGACCCACGGAAATACTCACAGAGCAGCTCGGAGAGGTTCCTGGAGCTGTCCCACTCGTCCATGGACCGAGTGTTTGATGCAGACTGTGGGAAGTCGTGTGATTACAAGGTGGGGTCGCCTTCCTACTTGGACAAACTGCTGTGGAGGGACAGTAAACCCCATCACTACTCGGAGCCCAAGCTAATCCTAGACTTATCCCACTGGAAAAGAGCAACCATAGCACCCGCAGCTGAGCTGTCGCTGGAAGAAGAACCCTCCAACCTCTTCCTGGAGATTGCCCAGTGGGTGAAGAGCACTCAGGCGGGGCTGGAGTGTCCCAGCTCTCTCCCCGAGATCCAGGAGCGGAGCCTGCCGTCCTCTCCTCGCCGCCTGCACCAGGAGCCCGCCGAGGTGAGCAGGGAGGCGGACCCCGAGTTCAACCTGGACGTCTTCATCTCCAGGGCGCTGAAGCTTTGCACGAAGCCCGAGGATCTTCCAGACAACAAGCTCAACGAGATCAACGGGGCCTGCATCTCTGAGCACCCCGGGGAGATGGTGCAGACGGAGGTGTACCAGAAGGAGCGGTGGTGAGGGGGGGAGCCCCGCTGCACCTCCCTCTCCCCCCAGGGTGGTGTGGCCCCTTCCCCAGGGCTGAGTGGCTTCCCCACTGTCATTGAGCATCCGCTTTTCACGCTGTACCAAATGCCTTTCTCGGAAAAGGCGAGCACAAACCGCATTATTGCCCCTCTTGACGCCTTCCAGGGCAGTCAGGAGGCGTGAATGAAATACTGAGTTTCTTATACTGCCTTAACACTCTTGCCTTGCGATCTCTGGGACCTGTTTGAAACTTAAAGTGTACAAGGGGGAAAAAAAAAAAAAATGACAGTACGTGGTAGGTTTACAAACAGAAGTCAAATCAGCTCCTTTACCTTTTTTTTTTTCTATAGCAACTTTAAAATGACGAGGACAAAGGTCTTCAGTGTGGTCAGGTACCATCGTGGTTTGACGGGTTCCCAAAACAACGAACTTTGAGCTCCTCTGAGGCACCTGTGTGAGCACAGGTACGGAGAGAGAAGTGGTGCCAGGCAGCGTCTGTGGCCGGCTGCCGGTCAGCAGAGAGTGGAGCTAGGGGTAGAGTTTGGCCGTCAGACAGAAAGTAACTCCTGGAGAACGTTAACGGGGGAGAAATTTGACCTACAAAAAATATGGGCCGCTTGGGGGTTTGTTTTATTTTTTTTTTTTTCTGACAGGAAGGCAGAATTTCTGCTAGGCGCGTTCTCCTGGTTTGGTTTCTCACGCCTGAATTTCTTCCCTTGTGTCTCACGGGGCAGAGCTGAGCTCTCCAAGCGCTTGGGAGGCCCCATAGGATGCATTTCAGCGTAACAACCTGGTGCTGTGAGTCCTGCCTCAGGCACCTGCCCAGCAGGCCAGCAAATCCCAGTGGAAAGGGCTGGACAGGAGCTGGGAGCCACAAACAGGGTGTCCCACCGCGTGATGCTGCCTGGCACCACCAGCTACACACACGCAGCGAGGGCACCCCACCTTTCCTGTTAAAAAACGAGTTGAAGTACTACTGTTTTACCTTCTGACAAAGACCCTGTGAAGGAAAAACCAGTTCCTGTGGCGTTAGAGTCGTAACTGGCTTCTTTGGGAGATGCTGGTGTCAGCAGGCAACTGGGCGTGGTGTGTAAATAGACAAAAAGACACAGCTGATCTACTGTAACTTCTGTTTTCATCCACACTTCTGAGCACCTTAACTACTAATCAGCTAACAAGAGTTTGTAAACGGAAGAAATGTTCTATACTTACATTTAACCAAACTCGGCGGTTTTTTTAAGACGGAAAATCTGTAAATAGTGTGATAAAAGCCAGTCTCTGCTTTCCTTGCTGCTGTGCTGCCGTGCTGCACAGCCCAGTGGCACCACACTTCCATTTGTGAAAGAGGAACTACTGTGCTTAGGAACTCCAAGGTCCATATTTAACTATCCCTGTACAAATTACTTCCACCCTCTTAGCAAGTAATCTGCTAAATAACTCTTGAGGTGTGAAGAGGACTGGTGTGAGATCAGACAACTAACTGCAGCGTTTGCTGTATTAACCCTGCTTGCTCTTCTTGGTGGGATCAGGTGCAGGCTTAGCTGCAGGAGAGCTCGTGTTAGGCGTTGACAAGCCCCAAAGCATCTTCCTGCTGTGGAGGCCTCACCTTGTGGGGTGATGAAAATGCTGATTGGCAGCATGGGTGTGAAGGCTGCCAGCTGCGTGGATGGGATGGGGTGGAAGTCCTGGGAAACGGGTGGAGGAGGCATTTGGGAGGCAAAGCAGTTTGCCCCTGGTCTTTGCTTTGGGCGTTCGGACGCCCCCCGGAGCGGTTTGGAGAGGGGAGGTGAAGGAGAAACGGAGGGTTGGTTCTCAGTGCGTCTCGGATTATTGATATACCTCAGCTAAAGCTCAGCACTTTTCACTGGTGGCGGGAGAAATTCAGGCACCGGGAAGCATCGACCGCTGCCCCGCTGGAGCGGATCCCAGCGCAGCCCCGGCCGCCCACAGCTCACACCCAGCAGCAGCCAGCGAGGGCTGGGAGCGGGGCTGCTGGGCTCCAGGGAGCGTGTGCCGAGAGAGGAGGAGCTGGCAGCAGATGGGTCGTGCCCCATCCCTCCCTGGTGGCACCCCGGAGAGGAGCTGACGATCCCATCCTCGTGGGAGAGCCGGACATCCAGGAGCCACAGGCGGGGTTCGAACTTGAGGGTTGAGATCAGCAGGGGGTGAGAGCTGGCTTTTGGGAACTCCCTTCTGGCAGGCCGGACACCTGTTTGCTGCCGTGGGGCTGAGCACGGAGAGGCGCCGGCATGAGGAGCCGCCAGCGCCCGAACCACGCCGGCGTTTCCCGCGTCCTCTGAAACCAGAAGCCATTTTCCACGGGTTGCTGCGCCTTCGCCGGGGGCCTCCGGGGCTGTTTATCGTGGCCATGAAAGAAACAGTTTCGCTCTTGAACACTGTCTTGAGGGCCCACAGCTGAAGTGTAACATTAACTTCGCGGGAAGCGGGCGGAGCGTGTTGCCGCCGCTCCGGGTTTTCCGCGTCGCTTCGTGAACTGTTATTTAATGTTGTTCTAAAACCTCAGCGTCACACGCTGGGAAAAAGGGGATAAGAGAGATGGCTTTAATTTGTTGCCTGAGTGTGCTCAGCTACCACAAGCCAGATCTTCGTTTTTCATCTGTAACAATAAAACGTAAGGCCTGAGCCTTCCTTGCGTGGCAGCGTGCAATTATTTTGCTTATTATGAGGCCTGAAATGTTTATTCCAGTTACCGGTGCCTAGGCTTCCTTTTTTACGAATCACAGAATTCATTTGGGTTGGAAAAGACCTCACAGAGTGAGGTCACGAGCACCACCACTGCTCGTGGTGGCCTCCAGGCAAGGATCTGCCCTTCCACCGCGGGCTGCAGTCTGGGGGCTTGGGAATCCATCAGGGAGATGATTTAAGGAGCTCCTTTGACTGTCAGAGTGGTCCCACCGATGGTTCTGCCGCTGATTGTTCTTCCCCAGTCACAAATAGGTGACTATTTTTACTGCAGTTTATTTTTAATCGTGTGGGGATTCAGCGGCTGCCACACCATCACAGAGCTGCACTTAACCAGATTTTTCAGAGCTTTCCCGTCAGAGTAATGAAAAAAATCAACTTCAGCTCGCTTTTGAAGGGGCTTTAGGGACATCCTGGGGAGTCTTTCCTGTGCAGATCTCCCCCGGATCCCAGCGTAAAACCCCAACACAGTGAATTTTACAAGCGGGCTTGTTGGGGGACTGGACGGTGAGTGATCAATTCCTGTCCCTCCGAGCAATTTCACGCCACCATCCACGGTTTTGGAGAGCTGGCAGAGAGAACGCTGTATAATGCAGCACGCAGTCATTTCAGGTCTGAAATGTTCTCTTTCTTTTTTTTTTTTTTTCCTGCTGATTCTGAGAGGAGCTGAGGGGAACAAATGCACCATATGGTGTTTGCTCCTGAATGGGGTTTGCCTTTGACATTTTCAAAGGCAGAGCTTTGGTTTTGAAGGGGGGCAGTGCCCGGGTGAGTGGAGCCCCCCTCAAAGTGCATCCCCAGCTCACCACCACGGTGTTTTGAGCGGCCATCTGGGCGCTGCCGGAGCGGGTTTGTAACAGTCACGTTGCTAAATTCAAAGAGTAGGATTTTATTCGTGGGGGGCGGGGGAGGGAAAGGAAGAAGGGTTTTTGTCTTGAAAGAAGATTTTTGTCTTTAAAAAAAAAAAAACAACCCACAACCTTTTCTCGGAGGGGGTCTTGCTCCATCAGCTCTTGGGTTGTGGCAGAATGGATTGCAACAAAAGGATCTCGGGAGGGGTTGCTTTGATTAACGTTGCGGTGAAAGTGAGGCATTTTAGGGAGTTTATATGAATTTTTATGAAGCACTGGAGAGATTATACCCAAGCACATCTTTGACAGCACCGGTGAGAAATAGAATTAATTGCTGTGTGTGTCACTGTTGTATGAAGTGCTTGTGTGTCCTACAATATATTGTTTTAAGTTTCGGCAATCTACGGCATTCCTCCCAGAAAATGGCAGGAGATGGAGGTGCTTCAGGGTGTGAATTGAGCTCTGCTTGCCCTGTGTGCTCCCGTGTCCATGGATCATGGGGACCCCCCCAGAGCCCGTCTGGTGACTGCTTTGTCCTTGGGCACTGACTCCGCCCTGGTGTTCCTGGGAATTCCTGCCTGGGTCACACTGGGAGTGATACAAACATCTTGGGCCAAAGCTGGGGTAATTAAACAAAGCTTTGGTAGCCCAGTCTGCAGAATGGAGCAGGTAAGAGCGGCCAGTGTGTGGGATCAGTTCTGGGATCGGGGATAGTGGCTTCCCAGTGCCAGAGGGCAGGGTTGGATGGGATACTGGGAAGGAATTCCTGGCTGTGGAGAGGCCCTGGCAGGGGTTGCCCAGAGAAGCTGTGGCTGCCCCATCCCTGAAGTGTGCAAGGACAGGCTGGACAGAGCTTGGACAGTCTGGTGTAGTGGAAGGTGACCCTGCCCACGGCAGGGGGTGGGACGGGATGGTCACCCCGCTGCTCTCGGAGCAAGAACAGTGTGGGTTGGTGTCATATGGATGGGGAAAAATAGGTTTCAGGGTGACAATTTACTGAAGAAAAGTTTCCCATATGCTGTGTGGTGCTAAATCCTGCTGGCCCCTGTTGGCAGTTCCAGCGCCAGCAGGACTGCCAAGTTCGCAGTTCACAAGTTCAGTGCTGCCTCTGCCTCTGTGAGGACAGTGAAAATACACCCCTGAAGGGAGCTGGGATGGGGAGGAGTGCACATGAGTATCCAGAGGTGATGAGATCCCCCTGATAGGCAGTAACATGCAGTAAGGGAAGGAAATGGGTTCAACCCAAAGCTTTTTCCCTCTGTTGTGCCAAGAACCTGTGCTCATGAGCAGCTGGGAAGCCACTGGTCATCCAGGTGGGTCCTTCTCTAAAACACTCCACAGTGATGAGGTGGAAGGTGAAAGAACAAACCACGTGCTCAGCCAGGCACAACAGAACTTCAGTGTGAGTGCGCACACAGGAACACACAGCTCTCGTGTGCTGTGTGCCTGGGGGAGCCTCTGGGTCAGGCCCCTGGATTGGGAAGGTTTGTTTCCGTCCTTACAATTCCATCTTTCGTCGCTAAGCTCAAAGCCACGTCTTGCCACCCTCCTTCACCTCTTGGGGGTGTGAATTCCTCCTCTGTGGTGAGAGCTGCTCTGCACTGCTGTAGGAGTAAAACCATGAGCTCGGCGTACCGCAGAGGAGTAGGTGTGCTGAGGATCTGAGCTGTCCACATCCAAGCCATCTGCTTCTCCGGCTTGATGGAGGTGGTTAATGCTCAAGTCACTCCATCCCTGAGAGAGTAGCCCCATCTTTTCAGGAGTCTGATGAACTTGATGGATGGCCAGCATTCCCATCCTACCAAGGGGGACTCGTCATTCCCCAGAGCAGTCACTGCTGGGGGCAGGAGACCCTCACCCGAGAAGGTCTCCTGAGGCCCCAGAGTCCACCATTTGGTACAGCTGGGTGTGAGGGAGGGGCATGTGTACTGCTGCTGTCTGTCCAGGATAGGTAAACAGTCACCAGGGGGGTCCAGAAACCAGAGAGAACCCTCCCAGAAACAGTTAAAAATTAATTTGGAGGAGCCTCCGTATCGTCCCTGTGTAATCCCGTACAACTTTCAGCTGTGAAAGGAAGGAAGGAGGAAAGCCTCTCTCTCCAGAGAAGATGGTATATGATGGTTATTCATCACAGGCTGAAAAGGCTGTCACTGCAGCAAAACAAGGCCTCACATTTGAGTGCTTCTGCCACTAATTCAGCCCACTGAGCAGCTCTGTGGTGCCGCAGCCCGGAGAGCTCATCATTCTCCTCCTGCAGAAGGACGCAGAGAAATCAGATTTTCTGGCCAAAACTGGCAGCAGATCAGGGGCTCGTGTTGCCCGTGTGTGCCCTGTGGCACCTCTGAGCCCTGTCTGATGCACATCCCATCCCACTGGCTGCTCCCAGAGCTGCCCCCGCACAGCTCCCGAGCGCTGCCGGAGCTGGGCAGACTCCCCTGGCCTGGGCGAGCTCCTCCACCCTCCCGTGGCAGAGGGACAGGCCTGGCTGGGGACAGAGGTGTTGCTGGCTCTCAGTGCTGTGTCTGCAGAGAACTGGCAGTGCCAGTCACCCCTTCATCCTCAGCCAGGCCGTGCTGAGGCTCGGCCTTCCGTGGAGAAACAAACAGGGGACCGAAGGCGGCGGTGGCAGAAATGCCAGCCCCGTCAGCTGCTGAGCAACAAACTGAAATATTTAATCACAGAGCCACTTACAGAGGGGCTGAACAGCAGGAGCCTCAGTGTCTTCCTTCCCTGTCTCCAGAGGCACCGACTGACATTTCACACTGACTGAACCGGCTCATTAAAAACCAGACATGGGCAAGACCTGCTCGTCATCTCTCCACCAAGGGTCTGTTCCCGCAGCAGGTACTTTGTCACTCTAAATTATGTTCCTCAAACACAGTAGCTGCCAGTAAATGCTTAGCTGATCCGTGCTGCTTCAAGTTGTTCCCCCAGGAGTGCTGCTGGATCTTCAGACAAGCATCACTGTGCTCATACTCAGCTTCTGTTAGCCAGCCCTGGTGTTCCAAACCTGTGTTAAGGAGAGAGGCACAGCACTGCTCTGGGACTTGCTCTGCAACCTGCTCTTGCCTGGTCTGCTGAGCTCCCTGTGCGTGTCCTTAACCCCATCCAAAAAATGGGGGCGTGCAAAAAAAAAAAGGCCTCGAGGCTGACTGACGAGAAGAGCGAGGTGTGCTCTGGTTCTCCTCTCTGGTTGTGAAGTTTTTACAGAACCGTAGGGTGGTTTGGGTCGGAAGGGACCTTTAGATGTCGCCTGGTTTAGGGCAGTGAGGCTACAATGAGAAACAGCCTGCAGGGAGCCCGCGTTCCTGCACCAGCTCACCCAGAGGAAGGGCGGATACCAAGCCCAGAGGCCCCAGCAGGTCTGACTCCCCTTCTGGCTGAGGCTCCTGCCGGACCCACCGAGCTGTTTGCTCAGCGGCAGCTGTGAGGGAGCCCAGATCTGCTCTTAGAGGAGGTGGGCAGAGAAAAGAGGGTGTGAAGGGAGAACTCCTGGGAGATGGGGAAGCCATGGGAGCAAGGGGGGCTGAGTGGCGGACTCAGGGGCTCCCGGTAGGCACAAGAAGCCTATTTCCCTCTGAGATCTCTGGGGTGCAAGCGCTGCAGCCGGACAAAGCTCTCCCTCGGGGGCACGTCCCCAGAGCTGCCGCTTTACAGGGCAGCGCTTTCCCAGCCGTGGGGCGGACGGGAGGAGCTGAGTGTCCCTCCTCAAACACCCAGTTCAAGAGTCGTGCTGCTCCTGCAGCCGTGAGCTGTCTTAGGCGAGGACGGGCCGCCCTCTGCAGGGAAACTCACAGAAATCGTGTTCTGGCTGCCCGGATTCCCCCGCACGGACAAGCCCTGGGGGACCCAGCCCGGTGCCACCCGCAGCTCCAAAGCCCTGCTGTCACCTCACCCCCTCCGCCAGGCGATGCGCAGGAAGGATGCGGGAGGGTCCGCCCGCCGTCGGGGGTTTGACATCGAGCGTTTCCCCCTGGAATAACGGGATCACACCTCTGCGGCCAAGCGCGGGCAGCGAGGAGCAGCCGTCGGTCCGGGTCTGCAGGGTGCTGAGGGCTCCCTGCCGCCGCGAAGGAAGCCAGGAGGTGCTTTTGT